CCAGGGTGTTTTCTTTCTCAGACCATTTGCCATGCCAAGGTCAAGGCTGCAAATGGGAAAGTACAAGACCTGGAGACACGGGATGGGAATGTCCGGGTTGATGCAATTGAAGATCTTGGATTCCCCAACTTCCCTGAACTCTCTGGGCTTGCAGAAGTGGTTGGTTTTCCTTGTTGGTGTCGAGGACCGCCCTTTTTCATAAAGATGATGTAGAAGCATCAGTCTTGAAAAATAACTCAGGCTTCCCTCACTGTCTTCTCTCTCCTCTCCTCTTGGCCACACACCAATGATGAGAATTAAGTTACGTGAACTTTACCCAGAGATCAGCTGAGCCTGCTAATAGGAGACAAACCCACAAAGACCCTTAGGACTCTACAACTATATCATGGGGAGCGCTGTGCTTCTCCACTGGGGCAGATGGGGGCAGGGGGGGGCACATAGCATCCAGTTGTCTCTATAATATTAGCAGCTGCTCCTGATCATCACCTAGAACCATCATTTCATGAAGCATGGAAAAACTGTGATATTACAAATGTGTTACTGTCATTGATTACCCGGGACAATTCCGCAGGGAAACATCCTCTAATGAATCCTCTTATTATGCTCTCATGGATGTGTGTTTACACTGAAGAATAATGTTTCTAATTATTCTCCATTTATTTACTGGTATGCATCATCCAAGTGTGACTAAGTGAGTGCTTTTCCTCCTTTAAAAAAAATTCCTGCCAATAAGAACTCATAGATTTCAGTAGATTGATGAGGTATCAGTTCATTCCAGCTCACGTCTCTTGTGATGCTCAAACAAGTAACTTCAAGTTGGCTCCCAAGTCCTTTTGACCAGATTCTAGTAGACTCTGAAGGTTTTCCTGGTTTTTATATAACAACATATTCCAGACTTCTTTGTACATTTCCTTCCCCAGACATAATCAGCCACCTTTCCACGGAGCCCTGATTCCTTTTAGTGGAAAGTGACCTGTAAAACCATAAATTGAAATGTGATAGTGCGTGTAAGTTGATTTTTTTTCTCATCTCAGTTTTTTCAGTGTACAGAGTTAGAAAATATTTTTTAAAGAACAAGCTACATCCCAGGTTGCTCCAGAGAACTAGAGGGTTCTATTTAACACCAACCTCTCAGCCTACACATCTCCTTTCTCCCGTGCCCAAAACAATACTTCTCCGTCATAGTGACCCATAATTCCTTCCTGCACAATACCTGTACAACAACCTTGGAATGACATTGCCAATACCAAGAGCACCAATCTGATTGCTGAAAACAAACTAGACATTCTTATTAAGGTTTTCAAAAAAACTTTTTGTTCTTGAGGTAATTACTTTCCCTGAAGTTAACCTGGATGTATGGTGAGTTTGCATCATCGTTGCTGTTATCATTGTTTTTGCGACCTTGGGAGATTTTTGAAGTTTGATTTTGTTTTATAATAGTGCCTAATACTAACATGGATCCAAAGAGAAAGCTTCAGAGCATGGTCTGTTCAAGAAATCTAGCACCTACCTGTATTTTCTCCACTCTCTTCCGTTCACCCTCTCTCTGAAAGGAAGAAAACAAATTATGGTTGATACTCCCATTCTTTTTATTTTCTTTTCTCTTATTTCAGCTTCATTAGGTACAACCGATCTGCAATAGACTACTTATTTAAAGTGCACAATCAGAGGTTTTGACAACCCCAGCATCGAGGTAATGAACATTCATCATATCCTTTGAAATTCCTCCCCATTCCACAACTCCAGGAAACAAATGATCTGCTGTCACTATCAATTTGCTTGCATTTTTCTATAATTGTACATAAATGGAATTACATATTGTGTACATTTCTTACCTAACTTTATTCTCAGCATATTGAGATTCAAGGTGTCATATATATCAATATTTGATTCCTTTTGATTTTAGAGAAATTTTTCTTTGCAAGGACATATTGGTTTGTTTATCCATTCACCCTGTTAAATTGTTTCCAGATTTTTTTCTGATACAAATACAGTTACCATAAATACTTGTGAACAGATATTTATGTAGACATATGCTACTCCATCTTAACCAGAATCAGAAATCCCTTTTTTCTGGTGTTCTTATTTCTATGTTTTTTTTGTTTTTTTGTAACCTGAGTTAGACATATTGTACCATATGAAACACATTTTTTCCATGTGCTTAATCATCTCTTAACAATATATTCCTGGAGATGACTTCATAGTAGCATATAGGGATACAACTGATTCCATTTTTATACATTTTAGACATGTGCCATGGTTTATTCATCAGTACCCCATTGAAGGACACAGGTTATATCCAGTTTTTTGATGCTATTTTGTTTTGTTCTTACAGATAGAACTGTTATGGATAATTTTGTGCAATAACTCTTTATAGTTTTGCCTAAGTATCTTTGGGATACTTTATAGAATTGAGATAACTACATCAAAGAATAATGCTGCTAGTTATAGTCAAATCTGCACAAAGTGTGAGTGTGCTTATTTCCACATTATCCCACTGTCAGATTGTCAAATTTTGAATTTTTGACCATTTACCAGGTCAGAAGTGGTATTCCACATTACTTCACTCCTTTTATTATGTATGAAATTGAGTATGTATATGTGGTGAAAAAAGTCTGTATTTCATTTTCTCATTAGAAAGTTTATCTTTTTTCTAATCTAGTTTTTAAAAAATCTTTATTTATGTTTTATGTGGTGCTGAGAATCAAACCCAGTGCCTCACATGTGTGAGGTGGGCACCCTACCACTGTGCTACAGCCCCAGCTATCTAATCTAGTCTTAGAAGTCCTTTACATATGATTAATCCTTTGCCTATAATATGCAAGTATTTTTTTCCATTTAATCACTTGTGTTTTCATGTTGTTTAGGATGGTTTCTTATCTTGCATTTTTAAATTACAAATGATTGTCTTTTAACTATCAGGAAGGACCTAATTGCAAAAAGTCTACGTGTACATATGTATAAAATAGAAACATGTTAAATTGAGGATCTTCTTTAATAATGAGGCCTCCTGTTACCTCTACTGTCCCTTTGTAACTGACTCTGATGGATTTCCTTGAAACACCTATTGTTCCAATACTTTCCACACTACACCACACTAGACATCATTCACCCTTATAACACAACTAAGACCTTAATGTTCTACTGCACTTCCTGTTACTCCTCCAGCCCATGTCAAATAATATTTGCAAGGCCTACATGCTTGCACAGAGCTTTCTTCCCATGAGTGATGATATGATAGCCAGTCTCTGTATAAATTCAAAAACTTTCTTAAAAATCTCCCCATCCTACCTGTTGAGCATTACCTTTCTCGACTTTCCTAGACACCTTATCTATACAGATTATTGACCTAGGCAAATGCCAAAAACATACCCCCATTCAACCACACACTCACTGAATGCTTTTTCATTTCTTATCCATCCAAGTAGATTTTATATAAATATGTTAAAGACTGACCAACCTTCACCCAAGGCCTTTACTAGGCACCATGATAATAACTGTAAGACATTTTTATGAGACAATGACCTTGGAGGCTTTACAAAAAGACTGGAAAAAGGAGATCTAAAACAATTATGATAAAGCGTGATAGTCTAGAGCAGAGACACATTTGGGAACAGAGAGAAGAGAAGGATTCATTTTAAGTTTAGTAGATGTCAAGAAAATATTGGAAATGAGTGAATATGCTAAAGGAGAAAGCATCATTCTAGGCAAATGGAATATTCCAGGCATGAGAAATGGCATGGGCTATCATTCTTCACACCTTCCTTGAACATCTTAGGAGGGATTCACCATCACTAATGACTGTGTGCTTCAGTCTATCTGGACCTCAGTGACCTCATGTGTAAAGAATTAAGAAAAATTGTGTCCACCAGATTGAACCCTTGTGAAGTGTAAACAAGAAAACAATTATAGAGGACTCAGAAATATTTCTGACACACAGTAGGTGCTCAGCAAAGTCTAATTAGTATGAGCTCACCTTTCATTGGGAATGTATAAATTTTAATACACATTGCTATTTTGTTTACTAATAAAGCAGTCCTCTAAAATAGTTGCCAAACTCTTTCCTATGTATATCATTTGCCTTGAGTTTATGGGACAGAGATTAAAGTTTATCCTTTATTTCTTCTCAATATTGAATAAAATATCTCCAACATACATTGTTGAGAGAAAACAGTTCAGACTATGAAACAATATAATTTTATTTACATTTCAGTTATAATATGCTCTTTGGATATATTGCCTTTCCAAAATGTAGGTCCAAAATGGTCCCTTATAATGCTCTACCTTTGAAAAGCAACATATCAATAAAATTTTAATATTTTATAAAAATCATGCCAATGTGATTTTTTATTATTTAAAAGTAATGAATCCATTGCATTATAATTCTTCAAACTGAATAGACTCAGTAAGACAAAATAGACAGGAACATCACTGGAATCCTTTACACCTCACTGGCCATTCAGAAAATCCAAAGGAATCACAGTATTCCTCATTGCACACAAGCTATCTCCCACACACCTCCAAAATATGGGTCTTTCAACTATTTTCATGTCAGAATTACATATTACTTGCTTTTAACTTTTTTCAAAACAGAGGGGATTTAATCACCATAAAATCTATTCCCCGTATATTTTCTGGAGGTGAATACATAAATGAAAAACAAACATTAAACCCAATTAAAGTCATGTAAGGGGTCTACCTTAGGAGACATATCAGACAAGATGAAAAATGGAGCTGATTCACATGGCTTCACCAAATTGGAGAGCTCATAATACAACAGGAAAAAGAAATGGTCCCTTTTCTATAAATAGCAATGTTTACCAGATAAACACAATTATCTAATTAACTAAACTAAATGATCTTTTCTTAGTATAAACAAGATCCTTCACATGATCATAGTAGCCCTCAGCAGGGTATAAAAGCAAGAGAGAGCAAGGAAAGATCAAACCTGAACACTCACCCACTTGGAAACCCACCCAGAACCTCCAGTCTCTGACACCATGTGCAACTCCTCTTGTGGCTCCTGCTGCTCTGGCCAGGGCTATGGCTGCTGCCAGCCCAGGTGCTGCCAGACCACCTGCTGCAGGACCACCTGCTGCCGCCCCAGCTGCTGCAGGCCCTGCTGTGTGTCCAGCTGCTGCCGCCCCTCTTGCTCTGGTGGGTCCAGCTGCTGTGGCTCCAGCTGCTGCCGCCCCTGCTGCTGCATCTCCAGCTGCTGCCGCCCCTCCTGTGACTCCTGCTGCTGCCAGACCTGCTGCCGCCTGCGTCCAGTCTGTGGCAATGTCTCCTGCCACACCACTTGCTATCGCCCCACCTGTGTCATCTCCACCTGCCCCCGCCCCATGTGCTGTGCCATCCCTGACTGCTGAATCTTGTCTTTGAACACCCCATCTCCTTATCTCCTCTCCCCCACAGATGTAGACCTTCCTTCTAAAAAAAAAAAAAATGTCATGCCCTAGAGAATTGATCTCCTGAGTCTCATAAGCCAATCTGATTCTTAGTTATTCTGAATATTCCACTTCCTGAATTTTGTCCAAACTCCTCACCTTGCAAATGAATTCACTGAGGATCTCCTCATAATTTAACACATTACCTCCAGCATTTTCCCCTTTATCTTCAGGACGTCCATTCGTCATGCTTAAAGAATTTGAGATTGCTTCTGTCACCTGTAGGGCCGTAGATGTTTAACAGTTTAACACCTCTGACATTGAAATCCAATCAAGTATCACTTTATGTTCCTTTGCAAGGATTTTCTTGTACCTTGTTATTCCTATATGAAAAAAATAAACTTCCATTCTATTGTCATTGAAAATTGAATGTGGTTGTTACTCTTTTTTTTTTACTATAAATTTTTATTTTATTTATTTATTTTTGCAGTAGTGGGAATGGAATCAAGGCATTTAGATTTTTAAAGACTATATACTTAACTCCAGCTGCTGCCGCCACTCCACCACTGAGCTACATCACCCATCCATTTCATTTTTTATTTTGAGATGTCATTGCTAAGTTACCGAGAGCAGCCTGGAACTTGTGATCCCTCTGCCTCAGCCTCTGAAGCTAGTGGGATTACAGGTGTGTACCGCCATGTCCAGCTTCACTAAAAGTTTTGAAATGAGATCTTAATACATCTTTTTTATAAGAAAAATAAGAAAATGTCCAAATATCTATTGATCAGTGAGTAGTTAAATACACCTTGGTAGCTTCCTAGGAACACAATATAACCACTGGGGAAAATGAGGTAGCCATACATCAGTGTTTCTCAACAAGGGGCAAATTTGCCCTCAGAAGATCTCAACAGTGTCTAGAGATATGGTTGGCACAAGTGGTGGAAGGAAAGTCTTGTTGCTGTTGTCCAGCGGGAAGACCCAAAGGATGATGCCAGCCATTGTATAAGGCACAGGACAGCCCCAATATCAAAGAGTGATTGATTCCACACCAGATGTCTATGATGTCAAGGTTTGATTTATATCTACACTGTGGACATCTTATACATTGAGTTAAATAGAAGAAATGAACAAACCTGTACATTAAATCAGGTATCCAAAATGAAATTATACAATCCCCCCACACCTATAATCTTTGCCATGATAAAATTGAGACATTCTATATACCAGGTCAAATGTTTCATATATATGAGGCTTAAGAAGATCCTATAATAAATATATAGTCTTTAAAAATCTAGATGACACAGAAGAATTTGACCCAAAGTAAGTTTTCTTTCATTAGTCTTTGCCAATATCATTCAAGAGCCATTGGTATGAGATAAACCCTTATTAAATGTATGTGTACTACATGTATGCATTTAGTCACAAATCTGGCTTTAGTTATACATTTTTTTGTTCTGGTGTTTATTAAAATACCATTTGATGTCCTTCAGGAAATATTACTACTTTCTCCCATCGAGGCCAATTGGATTGCTCAGCAGATTTTAATATTTTTATTTATCATAAGAATGGTGAGTTTGGGGCCCATTACATTTTTGTGGAGGATTATTGCTAGTGCATAAGAAATCTGTTGATTTTTACAAGTTCATATTTTAATGAACTCATGATTAATGCCACTTCTTAGTTGATTTTCTAGAATATTCTGAGCATAAAATCATGGCAGTGAAATGCTTCCAGCCTCAGGCATGTACCCTCGGCTTGTACCCAAGTTGCCCACAGTGGTGACCCCATCATTAACACAAACATTCTTCCTCCTCTTACTTTCCATAATTCCTCACTTGCATCTCCTAAACTCACCCCTCAAGTATATTATTTGCACTCAAGTCTCTGTCCCAAGTTCTGCACTATATAAAATAAAAATGAAGACAATAGATGTTCAGCAAATAAATTTGGTTGACTGATATCAAACTAGTAATAGTGACTTTTTTTTTTCCTAGCAATAAGAGTAAAACAGGGAAGTCAGCAGGTGAAGGACTGGTGCTACCATTTGGTGTTTCCCGCCTTCCTGGCTTCTTCTGTGTGGATATGGGCATTTCAGTTAAGCACAGTATTCATGGATATCTATAAACAAGTCTCAATGCAAACAGAGTCTTAACTTCCACAACTTTTCACATGTCATTTATCAGGTGACATGTTACCACAAAAATGCAGTTTTCCTCAGATGGAACTGCAATCTGTCTGGAATGTTCCTTTTCTTTGCTCCAGCAGTCAAAAGATACTTCATTCACTCCACAAACACTTATAGCCAGTGTCCTCTCTCTCCACCTTATGGTAACAGAAATAAATGCCATAGCCCAGGACTTCAGGGTATTAGGATTGCACCTGTGGGAATGGCAGAAGTCAGTAACTAGGATACAGGAGAGTGCTAAATTAGAAACACAAGACAAAGAATAATGATATAGGTCTTATTAGGAGAGGCAGCTTATTAGGAAAGATATTGAGAAGGAAGCACTTCAGCTGGGTCATGACAGAGGAGTAGGTTTGCAGAGCTGACAAGGAACAACAAACATTCCCGGAAATTCAACAGCTTCAGCAAAGGCTTGCAAGTTTTATTGTTCACTCCTTCCCTGACCACTTGGAGACATACTAGGCTTAGTTTTTGTTTAATCTTGAACAACTTTTATTGAGAGCCACAGCCAAGGGGCCCCAGCAAACTTCCAGCTGCCAGCTGATTGGCTCCTCTGCAGTGATGCTCTTTGGGCTGTTTCCCCGGCCCTTTCAGACCACAGAGCTGCTCATTGGGGAACTCTTTTGGCTCCACCCACACGACCCAGCCAATAGGCCTCAAGAGCAGGAGGAGTGGGGGTTGAGAGGCTTGTGGGAAGCCCGTGGTGGCAGTTGGGCTCTGAGGGAATTCCTGAAGAGCTCCTATGGTGAGGTGTGTGTTCTAAAAATAAAGTTCATTTCTGCTTGATAAGTGGCTCCTGAATTGTGCCCAGCCAGACTGCTGCAAACTTTTAAGTTTATTTAAACCTTTCTGTGTGTCTTTTGACTCTTCCACTAAGAGTAAGGACACTATTTCATAGGGCTGCATTAAAGATTAAAAACAATATGGATAAAAAATGTTCAGCACAAAGCCTGACACAGTGAACATGTCACTATGATACGCACACACCGAGGGTGCATGGAATGCATCCACAAACTGTATATTTTTATTTTAGTTGTGGAATTAAAGTAATTGTAATTCTTTAATTTTTGCCACATTGTTTTCTGGTGTGGATCTTATACAAGTACCCCGAGGAAAGACATGAGGGGTTATCTGTTCTGTTTTCAGAGGAGACAGTAGGATATCTTGAATACATATTTATTGAAAATTACTGATTCTAGAAATTAACAAATGCTCCTGTGAAAGAAAAATCCATTGTGCAATTTTAGAAAAAAAAAAAAAAAAAAAAAACTCCCTGCTCCGATGGCTATTCTGGAAGACATACAGCAAAAATGTGTTTTGATTATGTCAAAACCATGAGTCATTGCCAAATGCTTCAGCTGAAGACCCTGGAATGAGATCTGACACAGAGCTTGGAACTTCCTCAGGTCTGACCCTGACCTTCTAGGGAGGCCACACAAAAATCACCATCATCCTCATGACAGATGGGACATCCTCCTCCCAAATGGGCCTTTTCTTCTAGTTCCTTTCCAACATTTCACCTAACCAGAAAATTCTTCAACAACAACAGATACATTTGAATTATGAAAAACATCCTCTATGATTTGCATACAGATAGGAGGAAATATTACATCTGAAAAAAAAATGTCAGAATTTCCATTCTTGAGTACTTCATAAAAGACCACTGCATAGGTCAAGGTCAAGTATGACACCAACTAAGGAAAAAAATGTCAAAAATGTTTTAATGGGAAACACAGGAGCACAACAGGAAAAGGAGATATGCTATTTTCTTTCTTTGGAGTACTTAATTAGAAGCATTCTATTATGTAATTAAATAATTAAGTTTTCCAGGAAGGTAAATAACAACAAGGAAATAATGATATGGTGAAAGAGAAGTTCAGTAAGATATAAAAGGGGGTGTGGGCCAAGAACACTTTCAAACCCAAGAATTCACTCTCCTGGAAACCCACCCAGAACCTCCAGTCTCTGACACCATGTGCAACTCCTGTTGTGGCTCCTGCTGCTCTAGCCAGGGCTATGGCTGCTGCCAGCCCAGGTGCTGCCAGACCACCTGCTGCAGGACCACCTGCTGCCGCCCCAGCTGCTGCAGACCCTGCTGTAGTGGGTCCAGTGGCTGTGGTGGTTCCAGTGGCTGTGGCTCCTGCTGCTGCCGCCCCAGCTGCTGCCGCCCCAGCTGCTGCAGGCCCTGCTGTGTGTCCAGCTGCTGCCGCCCCTCTTGCTCTGGTGGGTCCAGCTGCTGTGGCTCCAGCTGCTGCCGCCCCTGCTGCTGCATCTCCAGCTGCTGCCGCCCCTCCTGTGACTCCTGCTGCTGCCAGACCTGCTGCCGCCTGCGTCCAGTCTGTGGCAATGTCTCCTGCCACACCACTTGCTATCGCCCCACCTGTGTCATCTCCACCTGCCCCCGCCCCATGTGCTGTGCCATCCCTGACTGCTGAATCTTGTCTTTGAACACCACCTCCTTATCTCCTCTCTCCCCACAGATGCAGAACTTCTTTTGGGCCCACCATTAGGACACATGGAATCTGGTTAATGTCATTCAACAGAATGGGCTTCATGATTCCAATCAGCCCAACACTGTCCCAAAGAAGCACCTTATATTTCATTTTAAACTCTCTTCTTTCCAATGCTGTCATCAAATAAAAATTAATTTGTAATCCACTAGCAAAGAAATTACCTTCATCCTCCAAATTACTCATTTTCCTTTCAGCTTGGAGGGTCTACATTATTTTTCTCAAAAAGTTAAACATTAACTCTAGCCCCAATGTAGGCACTAATTTTATTCCCTCAGTCCTGGGGGTCCAGTTATATCATAGATTCTCTCCTAGAGTAATTTTCTTATGTTTTGCTGCTCTTCTGTTTTGAAATAAAATTTTTCTGCCCAAAAGAATTCTTTGATGTTGTTCTCTATTATTTTCAGAGTCATTTACTCAGTAACCAGGCAATTATATTTTATATAAAGACACAGAAAAGTTAATGTTGAAATAATTTTGAAAATAAGTGTTAAGTCAAATATAGACAACTTAGGATATTAACACAAAAGTGGTGCATTTGTAAGTGTAAAAAGTGGTGTGTGGTGTGTGCCCATGCATGCACATACATGTGGCCTGTGTGTCCATATCCTAAATTAGGACTTAAAAATCATTACATTGTTTGTACATTATGCCTCTTAATACCATTGGTTTTGTTTTGGAGAAAATGTACAACCAAATTTCTGGGGAAAAACAGCCAATGAAAGCAGGAAAATCTCCTACAAAGAAGATAATGTACCCCATTCATTCATTCAATAAACAACATTTCAAAGTGTGTTCACAAAGAGGGTTGTATTTTGCTAAGAGCCATAGCCAAGCAGTATGATGCGTGGCATTTTTGGTTGAAAGATGACGCCAGCAAGCCATTGAGATGACATGATTATGTTAAGATCTGCACTCTTATGGATATTAGATTCCTGCTGTCCACCTCGGCCTGCTACAGGACTCCTGGAGAGTTCCCATTGGTTGGGGAAGTACCGTAGGAGGCAATTCCGGAGGAGGGACTTCCTGTTGGGGTCCGGGAAAATGCTGCCTTTTCCCGGAGGAGGTATTGGCGGCAGTTTCAAAAATAAAGTTTGTTCCTGCTTGAGCGGCTCGTGATTTTGTGCCCAGCCAGACTGCGGCAGTATTTCCCATTGAGTTCTGATGAGAAGAAATGCAGATTTTGCTACATTTTTAAGAAACAACATTTCATCTGGATGGTGTGGTATGTTTCCGATTGTGGTCTTTCAGGGTTTTTCTTATGATTCAAACATCTCTACACTTCATATTCTAACATATATGAACCTAGAAGTCTAGAGTTTCAAAACTCATTTTCTCTATCTAAGGATTTTAAAAATTATAATTAGTTCCTAGTAGTTCTCAGCTGGGATGCACATTGGAGATAGAATGTCCAGGAGTGGTGGCTGCACTTGAATTTGAAAGACACAGTGTTATGACATGACCCTCCAGGAGGACTGACTGCTTCAGTAATCGTTACTGGTATCAAAATGAGCCCATGACCATGCACTGAAATGGATCTAGACTATTGAAACAACAGGGGTGAAGATGATTTGTGTAGACATCACTGGTAAGCTTCGTGTTTCTTCAGATGCCATTAGAAAAAGGCTTCCGAGATTTTAATCTTAGAATTAAGACACCCTCATGAAAGAAGAAAATTCCCCCATTTCACAACTCATTTGGAATCTGCCTTAGCTGTTTGGAATAAAGAAGGAATGTAGAGGGAAGGAAAGAGGAGGTGGGAGGGAGAGGAAGGGCAAATACCAGGGGTTGAATTAGAACAAATTATATTCCATGCTTTTATAATTATGTCATAATATATTCTATTGTCAGGGATAACTAAAAAAAGAACCAATCAAAAAAGAAGAAATAAATAGGATGAAATATACTTTAAATTTTACACAGGAGAGTTAGGAGTGTTGTTATGAAACCCTAAGTTCTGAAATCACAGATGAAATTATAAAATATAATATTGGGGTTTTACATATCCAAAACTTTTCAGTACATCAAAGGTAAAAATAAAAAACTTGAATTATTTTATTTTATCTGTGACATTGGAGCAGGCTGGCATTAGGAGTTAACCCTGAAGTGATGCTTTGAAATTCCCTCCTCTTTGCATTTCCACCACACTCTTGTCCATCAGTAAACCCCATGAAAAAGGAAGGTTATCACAAAACATGTAAAAAGTAATAATGAAATGTTTAAATGAAAAGTTCAATAAAATCAACTTCATAAACAACTAAATAATCCGTAAAGTAAGAAAAGTCTGGCAAAACTGATCAGAGAGAGAGTAAAGAGTGACTAAAGGGCTAATGGATAAATAATACATTTGATAGGAGGTATAATCAGCCACCAGGAAAGTGTTTTTTTTTTTAAAACAAACTAAAAAATTATACATAAATTTATATTAATATGTTAAAATATTATGATTGGATTGACTATTTCTATAAAAATATAGATTAGCAAAATTAAATCCTAGAAGATGTAGAAAACAAAAATAATAATCATTAAAGAAACTATGTATATGATTCAAAACCTACCCTCTATATATGTTGATATGTGTGGAGGGTAGGCACCAGTCTCATATTGATTTAGAAGTAAGTTTACTAAATCTTAAAGGAAGTTCACTTCCATTCAAACTGGAAAAATTAAAAAAATAGAAAAAAAAGAAAAATCTTCTCAATTCACTATTTTATAAGGTGAATACAAACATAATTTCAAAACCAGACAAGCACAGTGTGATAAAGGAAAATTACAGGCTTATATTACTGAAGATCACAGATGCAGAAACCAAATAAATGCTAATAAATGAAACAGCAATATCCAAAAAGAGTAATACATCATATCCAACTAGAGTTTGTTCTAGAAATTTAGAAGTGCTTCAAAATTAGAAAATATTTAGCTGGGTAAGGTGGAGCATGTCTATAATCCCGGTGGTTCAGGAGGCTGAGGTAGGAGGATTGAAGGTTCAAGGACAGATTCAGCAACTTTGAGAGGCCTTCAGCAACTTAGGGAGACATTGTTTCAAAATAAGAAATAAGAAAGGGCTTGGGGATGGGGTTTAGTGGTTGAGGGCCTCTGGTCTCAATCTCCAGTACCCACTCCTTGTAAAATGAAAATATTTAATTGAATTTTATGTTAGTACATTAACAGAAAAGTACAGGATGATCTCACCAGATGGCTCACATGACTGTGGAACATGAAAAGTCACAAGATCTGCAGTTAGCAAACTGGAAACCCAGGGGAATCAATGTAGTTCCAGTCCACATGTGGGTAGTCTTAAGGCCCACGAAGAGCCAAGGTTTCAGAGTTCATCTAAAAGAGGCAGAAAAGACTGATATCAGGGCAGTGGGAAGAAGGAATTCCTTGTTAGGCAGACAGACATTTATTCTATTCAGGTCTTCTATTGATTGTCTAAGACCCATCCACATTAGGGAGGGCAACATATCCAAAGTAATGTTTAATCAAATGTCCACTTTTAGATTTTCAAAAATATCGACAGTGGATATTTAAAGTATGACACATTGATTCATACAATGCAATAACAGCGATCAGGGAAAGCACGTGAAATAGAATGAAACTTTTCATCTTTTCCTATGGGCTAATGGAATAAGTACATCCAATGTCCCCCTCCCTCTCAAAAACGTGATTTCACTAAGGAATATCCAAGCAAAGGATTTCAGCCTCATCATTTTCACTATCATTCAGACAAACCATGTAGTTTCTAGTGGTAGACAATTGCATGGGTGAAAGTGTAGAGGAAAATCATGTCCGTCACTGTAACACCAAACTAACCAGAGTGGAAGCCATACTATTCACACATAACTGAGGCCAATAATTAGGTTTTGGTTATATATTGGTAAATGTTATAAAGACACTCCCACACCCAAGGAACATTCAAGACCCATAATAAAAAGAAATTCCTGTAGAATATTAACTCATGATAAATAATGACACCCCATGTGAGCAAATGGACCGGCTCTCCCCCACAATGGTTTCAAATTTGCTATTGCAAGAAGCTCCAGAGATTTATCTAACCTGAAACAAATATATTTCTTAGCTTGGTATTCTCACACACAGGGAACTCTAAAATTGGATTCCCAAACCATATTGCTATAAGTTTTAGTATTGATATAGATTATTTTCTTGTTCCAGCTATTTCCCTCAAAGAACAAGATTCATTAGTCTTCTCTGGATCAGTGAACTCTGTTTCCAGTTCTCCTATCTCAGGCAGGAGATCCTCCCAAGTCTCAGCTTTTTAGTATCATTAGTCTCTGTGAGAGGACATTAAAATCCCAGCCCTGCATCACTGACTAATCTAAAATTACATTACCAGGTCACAGAGTGAAGAATCTGGTTTTGAGTTCATTACAGACTGAACAAAGTGGCAGCTGATATCATCTTCATTCGGGAATCTGAGAATTTCTTTCTTTTAGCTAAAAATTTTATTACTTTAAAATCAGAATCCTAGCGGGGTGCAGTGGCACATGCCTGTAATTCCAGCATCTCAGGAGGCTGAAGCAGGAGGATCAAGAGTTCAAAGCCAGCCTCAACAAAAGTGGGGTGCTAAGCAATTCAGTGAGATCCTGTCTTTAAGTAAAATTTAAAATAGGGCTGAGGATGTGGTTCAGTGGTTGAGTGTCCCTGAGTTCAATCTCCAGTACAAAATATATATATATCAGAATCCTTACATCTGTATAGTCAGAGGAGAGGCCCATATTAATGCAAGTCCCAAAATCATATTTCTCTCAAGAGAAAATTCCACTTGTCAATCATTAAATAATCTATTTTTATTTTAAGCAATGAAATAATATTGCTAATGAAATATTTGAGTAAGTCAATATTTTATCTCATAAAATTAGTGTTATTCTTAATAGGTATATTTTTTCCCTCTATTGAATGCCCAA